GTTTATTATCAGCAAGCTGAGGAAGTACTTCAAAATAAAAATCTGCTAACTGTGACACTTTCAGCTCAGTGGTTCTCATTTTAAAGTGGCTACAACAGTTTATTACATTATTTTTACTGGTTTGTATAAATATATGAATACATTTTGTTGTAACTTTACTGTTTCTTTGGTCCCACCTGGATCCTGGGGTCCACTTCTTCCTCCTCCTGAGGACACTCCTCATCCTCACAGTTACTCCCGCTTCCTTCCATGCTCAAAGCAACAACAAAAATCAGTCTTCAGCAAACTGAGCACAGCAGCGAGGGGCCTCCTCGCCGCAGACGATCAGGGGCCCCTGAGTGGAGAGGGTGGGCCCTTCACGTGGAGCCCTGCACGAGGACGGACCAGACCCACAGCCAGACCCGAAACAGAACACAAAGTAAAAGAGTCAAGTAGTGACGAACCCTGGAAGACGAAAAAAAGATCAATACTGATCGGTTAGATCAGCTGTTTCCTGTTTTGAGATTTCAAAATAAAAGCTGGCACAGTTAATTCTAAAATTGGCAGAGATCATCAATTTCCCAGAAAATGGCCACCCCTATAAATATATTAGTTAAAAATACAAATAAAATAACAAAGAAGGAGGCGATCCCTTTACTCCCATACAACGTTTCTCAAATTATAGATAAAGATATAATTTTGTTGTTGCGTTTGGTTTTTTTGTGCGCCACCCCAAAACTGTCAGTGGTCCTGATCCCCCATCTGGGGGGGTCCAGATTTGGAAAACTTTCTGGTGATGAGAGTCATCCTGACATCACTCATGATAAAACAATCACACACTTGAACCCCTCTGCTTCAAAACTTAAACAAACAAAGAACCAAAATATGGGACACTTCTTAGTGATCGTCTGTTAACCGGCTGTTCTTCTCCACAGTCATGGACTCTGTGTAGAGACTGAAAGAACGGGATCACGAATAAAGGGAACGGGTTTTCTGTGCAGGGAGAGGTTCCTCCTCCACATCCAGAGGAGTCAGTAAGGATCCCATGGATTCCTCCCTGGGGAGGTTTTCCAGACATCTTCAACTGGCAGAGTTGTAGAGTTAGGTTAGGGTTAGTACAAAGGTTTGTACAAGTACAAATACTTTGTTACTTTACTTACATATAATTTTTGGTACTTGAGTAGTAATTTTTTTCAGCCTACTTTTTACTTCTACTTCTTACATTTTTTTTAAAAATTACGTATCGATAAATTAAGTATCGTTACTTTTATTTCATTTTTGCTTGTTTTCATTCCAACTTGTTATTGTGAAAAATAAATACTATCCATATAAATTGTGCCTCCTACATAGAGTGAATTTAATTGTGGTTGAATGAGAAGTATAAATATATGAAGTTTTGATACGGTATTCGTTTGTACACAAGCAGATCATTTAGCAGACGTTTACTCAAGTAATATTCCTAAAGAAGGCTTTCATTTTAACCAAAGTAATTTTTGGTAAGAGACTTGTACTTTTACTCGAGTATCACTTTGTGGTACTTTATACGACCCTGCCAGCTGGAAGGAAACCCAGGACACACTGGGCAGATGTCTCTCAGCTGGGGAACAATGTGAAGTCCTCCCAGAAGATCTGGATGACCTGACTTGTAAACAAGCAGCAGATGGATGGATGTGATCATCATTAAAAGAAAAAAGCTACATATAATAAAACTAAAATTGGACAGCTGCATGTCAGTTTTTTCTATAACAAACCGCTCCTTTATCTTATTTTGAAATGAACCTTTTCATAAACCTGTATTGTTTCCAGCTTACCAGACCACTTGTGAGCTTTGGGTGGTTCCTCTTCGCCACCTGGCGGCGGGTCAGGACCATTGCCGGGCTCACTGGTGGCATGAAGCTGCTGGTTTCCTGTAAACACTTATGGTTCCCAGCAATCCCTGAAAGTGTTTTATTCTGGGCCTGTGTATATGCCCAAGAAACTGAAGAATCCAGGAAAACTATTTAAGCTCTGAGCATAAAGAAAGTAAAAGAACAAATAATGAAAACATTCTTGGTTCATTTATTACGGACATGTGACCTTATGACGAGACAGTTTAGATTAATGTGAACATATCAAAACTGGGAATATGAACATCTTGTTCACTTTGGAAACCTGCGTGGGAACGCAGCTTTTATATTAAGTAATCCACAAACGCTGCATAAAAACACACCAGGCTCTAAACAGGACTACCAAGTGCACATATAATTTGCATGCCAAAAACTGCAACAAACTAAGCAAAGGAAGTGGTTTAACGTTCGCTAATCTAGTCTTATTTTACACCAGTGTGACGTGTTTGAAAAAATTTAAATCTAAACCTTCCCCGCTCCTCACTCAGGGGCCCAGAAATGGAATTAAATTCAACGTTTAGTGTTGAAAGTAAAACAGGAAACGTCACGTTCCTCGTCTCGTTACAGCTGAGCTCTGCCGACAAAATATAACCTAGCTCTGCCTGGTGTTTCCTGCATAGAAACAGCGTTTTACATGTCCTCTTGCAAACACTAAAAATCTACCGCCTGTAAACGGACTAAATGTGAAATAAATAAAACACAAATACTATTAAAAATAAAAGTAAGGGAATTCTCCCACTTTCAAACAGGGAATTCCCACTGAAGGGGCGTTCCAGTTTAAATTTACGACTTGTACGCAGGAAATTCCCACTTCCCAGTACAACTGCAACAAAAGTAGCTGGCCTCTTTCAAACCCTGTGCACCTCCGGCGTCATTTTGCGGGTAAGTTAATCAGCATGCATTCTGGGAGATGTAGTTTATGGTCAAAGCTGGCTTTAAAGCAGCTTGTCCTAATATCGTCGATTCTGCTGCCGAAACTGATACTTGTCATGTTCACTGAATAATTTTGTGATTTTGCCTTTGATTAGCTGATTATGATACAACACAAGAAAAAAAAAACAATGTGCAACAAAAGCAACAATATAACAAAAATATAAAAAACAAAGTCAACTAGACATGGGATTTTACGATGTAAAAACAAGTGTGCATTGCCATGTAGCATGTCTTTGCCTGCAGCATTGGACTTGCAGAATGAAGTGTGACCAAGTTCAAATGTGTTTTCTAATTATTATCAGTCAAACACCTGCCAAGTCAGCACGTGTTTGTAATTAGGGTAATTGTGTGGCAATATAACAAACTGAAATTATGTAGTTTTACTGAAACAGTTTGTTCATAGCTGGGATTGAACCCTGATCTCTTGAATGAAATCCGACAGTGTTCACCATGACACATGGGAGCTGTGGCAGAGGACAATCCCAGGGCTTGGATTGTATTTATGCAGAAATAGTTTACCTTGCCAATGCAATTATTGACACTTAAGTGCAATATATTACGACAATAGAGCAGTATTAAGACAATATTATAGTAAAACATCAAAATACAATCATATTGGTACTGTAAACACTGAACTACTGAGTTGAAATATTAAACTATGGTGCAGTACCAAGTTGAGTACAGCACGGGGCAGTATTGGACCAATACAAGGCTCCATTGACTGCCATTATAATTCATTAAACATTAATATTTCATAAACTATAAGTTTTACAGGCACCAAAAGGCATAGCCATCATTTGGCACAGGAGCTTTACAGATATAAATTACAATGGCAGCTCTAGGACAAAGTATGCAGGAGGAGAAGCATGGCAACGTTGAGATGACTTGGATGGGAAACGAATCACAATAGTGCGCATTGCATTGGCAACGCACACTGATAACACAAAAAAGAAAGAAAGAAATTCCCCAGCATGCAAGAATGATGAAGAGGTAATGACTGTCTTGATACTTAGATCAATACCCCCACCTCTTATTTTTAGACATTATTATGTTTTTAAAGCTCTTGGGAGCCACTCAAAAGGCTGGGCCTGACCCCATTTGGCCCGTGAACCATAAGTTTGACACATGTGCTGGTTGGCTGATCGTTGATGGTTCCTGGTTTAGTTTTGATGAACATTTAATGGATGATGTGTAAACCAGACTCTGTCTGTCTGTCTGTCTGTCTGTCTGTCTGTCTGTCTGTCTGTCTGTCTGTCTGTCTGTCTGTCTGTCTTTTTTCTTTTCTTTTTTCCCCCCAGCGTCCTCCTGCGTCTGCAGATCTGCGACGGACGTTGATTTCATAACGCCGGGAGGAGGAGGAGGAGGAGAGGAATGGGGCTGTGAGGACTGGATGAACGCAGTCTCCGCTCGGCTTCAGTTCTCTCTCCTCCACCGGACCATGCAGAGGGTGCAGCAGTCCAGGCTGAGGATGCGGTGCTGATGCTGATGCTGGTTGCGTCTTGAGCATCATCACCCCGACGGCCAGAGAGAGAGACACGGATCGATCTCCGGGAGCCAGGGAACGCAAGCAGAGAGGATTCGCGCAGGATGGAGTTCAAGCAGCTGGTGGAGGCGGCGGAGAAGTGGTGCACCGGGAACCCGTTCGACCTCATTTTCGCCGAGGAAAACGACGAGAGGAGGCTGGACTTTTACGCGGAGCCCGGGGTCTCTTTCTATGTGCTGTGTCCCGGAGAGACCGACAGCTTTGTGAGTGTAGGCCCATCACACCACTGTGTGTGCGTGTGTGTATGTGTGTGTGTGTTCTTGTAGGTGTGTCGAGGCTGAGGTTGGAGGTGGGGTTGTCCCGGTTGGTTCCGGTTTTCTCGCTGATGGACGTGGGATAAGACATGATGTAATCACGGCTTCTCCTCACATGTGATGATGCCTTTGTCTCCTCAGTTTTTGTTTTACCTGTCAGTTTATAAACACAAGGCCCAACGCTTAAAAGGACAGTTCAGCCTTTTTGAGGTGGTGTTTTATGCAAAGTTATAAGCAAACAACATCTTACCTGGTGTAGATAGCTCTTTCAACGACCTCTGTTGGAAGAAATAGCGTTTCATTCTGACCGAATTGATGAGCTAACGGCAAGTCTGAGCAGGAGGATCAAACTGTCAACTCAGAATAACTTTATTATTAT